TGTCTGTCCTCTGATAATCTACCTGCTCAATGGGCTGATTCCAAGCAGGGAGCTTTCTCTACTAATCCCATGCAATGAAAGCAGGCAGGGCAGATCTGCACACATTCTGTTGTTCCTCAGTCTGATGAATTTCCTAATGCTGTGAGGAAGGCAGAGCCCTGTGGGAGAATGTATCTCTGAGTCACAGAAAATGAATGATTGTCAACATTTTTAGCTCTCCCTGCTGTTAACTCCTTCCTGTAAGACGTATTTTGGAGAATTCTGGCTTTACAACCCTGTTTGTCATGTCACTGACCTCAAAGTTAAGGTAACCAAGCATTCATTAAAGCCAGTCCTGGCAGAGTAACTCAGCACCACTGATTACTTTATATAGACCCATGTATTTGGTCCAATCCAATGCTTCTTTACTTCTATGACTCTCATAGTAGACATTCAGAAACATATTCCTTATGTTTATGCTAATGAACCTTTCAAAACCTTCAGTACTTTCATATGTAGGTAAATCGTGCTTCACTGTCAGAAACCTTATGGTCTGTGAAGATTTTCCTGGCCATGCACACAAGTTGACAAGTGAAGTTGATAAGCTATGTCTTGAGAAACATTAGCAGGTACCTGAAAGGCACCTGCATTATCAAGTCAGGTTCATTGGCAAGAAACACTAAGATCTGGGTGTTCAAGGTACTTATAACTGTCAAAACTTAGAGAAAGGACCCCATTCCAGTTTCAGGTCCCATTCCTTAGTGAGCTTTGCATTGTTCATGTGACACCAGTGAGACTCAACTGAGGCTGACTTCAGCGATCTTGAGTACCACCGAGAACACTAGCCCGACAGCTGCAAGAGCAAAGAAGTGGCCCATTGCTTGGGCTCGGTGCTACCAGAGGGGCATGGGACTCCCCACCAGAGCTGAGCCTGGAGGAGAAGTGGATGCCAGTGATTTCACCTTAAACATTACAAATTTTCACTTCCTTTACCTGGTTCAGATCAGAGCCACATTGCCACCCTCACTTGGCTGTGACTTCCAGACCCAAAGCCTTTCTGGATGGACCTTTCCCAAAAGTAACCCCCCCCGCCCCCCAGGTTTCTGAGACTTCCTGAGAAACTTCTCCTCATTCAGACCTGCGTCTGCTTCCCCTGCTCTCAGCCCACCCCACCCCCCCAGGCTCCCAGTCCCTCGTATTCCTCTGTCTTCTGGTCCTCTGGACACAGGTGGGTTTCCTTCCTTTCAACTAGCTTTCATTTTTGCAAGCAGTTGAGCTGCTTTTCTTTCTTGTGCCTTCAGGGCCATGTATATATCCACCTTTGCAACATTTAAACAAACTTACATTTTAGTTAAAATGCTTACTTACAGAAAAGTTGTAAGTTTAGTACACCGTTCCTATACATCCTGGACCATTTATTTATTATACTATAATAATTAAAGATTACATTATCATGATGCCTTTGTCCTAGCTAAAGAACTAATGCTCACATATTATTAACCAAACTCTATTCACATTTGGATTCCATTAGTTTTTCCCTAGTACCATTTTCTACTATAAGAGTCCATCTGGGATATCACTTTAACATTAGTAATCATTTTTCCTTACTTTCTTGGCTATGAAAAAATTCACAGGCTATATGTGTTTTTTTTTTTAATTAATTTTTTTGGTACATTTTAGGTATTAAAACAATATAATGACATTCATCATTGGAAATTTGCACCTTTACATAATCTCTCTTGGTTCTTATTTTTTCCCCATTCCCCATTCCCTTCAACCCCTCCATCCCTCCCTATTTACAGAGACTTTGTTTCCAATTTTTCATTTTCTCATATTAATTCCATTCCCTTCTTTGCTTTCCCCTACCCCTCCCACTTCCCCTTCCCCTTTGCCCCTTTTCTTCCTATTTCACATTATCTATTATACCTTTTAGTCCTTATTTACACTTTCAGTTTCTCACACCAGAGAAACTATTCGATATTTACACGTGCATGTTCTATTTATTACACTTAAGAGTATAGCTTCAATGTATATCCATTTAGCTATAAATGTCTCTAATTTCTCATTTTTTAATGGCTGAGGAGTACTCCATTTTATTTAAAAAAAAACACATTTTCTTTATCCAGTCTCCAGTTGATGGCCAATTGGGCTGCTTCCAAGTTTTAGCTATTATAAATTGCGCTGCTATGAACATGGGTGCACATATATTACTGTGGTATGATTCTTTTAATTCTTTGGGGAAGATACCCAGCAGGGGAATACTGGGTCAAATGGGACTTCCAGTCCTAGTTCTTTGAGGTATCTCCATACTGATTTCCACAGTGGTTGCATCAGTCTACACTCCCACCAGCAGTGGAGCAGGGTTCCTCTTTCCCCACAGCCCTGCCAGCATTTGTTATTGGTTGGTTTCCTGATAGCAGCCATTCTTTCTGGAGTGTGGTGGAATCTCAGCATTGTTTTCATTTGCATCTCTTGAATGATCAGTGATGTTCAACATTTCTTCATATGTTTATTTGCTATTTCTACTTCTTTGAGAAATGTCTGTTCATTTCAGAGGTCCATGTTTGGATTGGGTCTTTAAATTTGGGAGGTCTGATTTTTTAAAGTTCTTCATAGATTATAGATAGTAGACCTTTGTCTGAGGAACAACAGGTGAACATTTTTCCCCACATTGTGGGTTTTGTCTTCACACTTGTGGTTTCTCTTGCTGTGCAAAAGACTTTTAATAAGAAGAGATCCCATTTGTTGATTGTGCTAGTTCACAGGCAACTGAGGTTTTGTTCATAAAATCTTTTCCTACACCAATATCTTCAAGAGTTCTACCTAACCTCTGTTCCAGCCAGTTCAATGTTTCTGTTTTAATATTTAGATCTTTAATCCATTTCAATTTTAATTTAGTGCATGGTGAGAGATATAGGCCTACTTTTAATCTTTGGCAAGCTGAAACCCAATTTTTTCAGCACCATTCATTAAAGAGGCTATCTTTCCTCCAGTGAGGGTATTTGGCTTTTTTGTCAAAGATGAGGTGGCTGAGTGTGTCTGTAGTTGTTTCTGCATTGTCTAATCTGTTCCACTGGTCCTCAGGTCTGTTTCTTTTCCAGTACCATGCTGTTTTTATCATGGTGGCTTTGTAGTATAATTTCTAGTTGGGTGTAGTGATGCCCCCTGCTATATGTGTGTTTTTAAGAATTTGGCAATTTCACGTAATACTGGAACAGTTAATTCTTGAAAAACTGAGCTTGTAGAGTCATGTAATTGAAGAATGAAAACACAAACCGAAAGGAGAAAGTTTGATGAGTATTTATTGGATATAATAATAAGAATAGCTCCTGGTTTGGCTGGGGATTTAGCTCAGTGGTTCCACTTCCTGCCTTGCAAGCGCAAGTTCCCAAGTTCAATCCCTGAAGAGGGGCTGGGAAGAAAGAAAGAAAAGAATAGCTCCTGGATTTTGAATATCTAGGAAGGGATTCCTAATGGAGGTCCAAGCTATATTCTTTGTCCTGCCTATAGGAAGAGCATGGAGCATGTGTGGGGTATCCTTTCAAAGAAAAGAAATTCAAAGGAAACATTATCTTGCATTTCTAATGTGCTCCAAGTCCAGTCCAGAGTAGGGAGGAGCTGTCAAGAAACTTAGCATATCCATAAGAACCTTTTGTCCTGTGAGGAAAGGTCCTTGTCTCTCCATTCTTATCCTAACCTTTTATCTTTTGTTGTGTATTTGTTTTTACATTTCTAAGCATAATTAGCTGCTTGAATTGACTTTACTTGGTGTGTGCTATTTTCTTTTATCCAACTCTATCTTTAGGCTGCCCTGATTGCTTACTCATAGGTTTAATAACTATGGCTATAGTATTGGGACTTGTAGAATATTTCTCAATTTTTGTATTTCTGATATATTTCTCATGATTAGTTTGAGGTTATGAATAATCAAAAGTACACAGTGAGATGGTGATTGGAGGGCAAGGAACACCTCCATCTCCTTGGAGATAGCTTTGAATAAACCCTTTTTACCAAAATATATGGCCTCGCAGACAGGGATTTAGCTCAGTGGTTTGGCCGGCTGCCTCAAAAGTACAAGGTCCTGAGTTTGAACCCCGGTACCAAAAAAACCCCCTTTGATTTGATCTGTGGTAAGCAAGTGAACATATGTATATAAATCTAAATGTATGAACCTAAGTGGACAGTAACAATTTGAGTTTGGCAAAGCAAAAATGACCCTAAATGGTAAATATTTTTAACCAATTCAGGACATTGAAGCAGCCATGATCGCATAAAGACATTCACAGAAGAGGACTTCTAAAACTGCTTCAGACAGTGGAAAGAATGGTTGGATAACAGTGCTTGAAGAAAGAGGAGGTATTTTAGGGGGATAGTGAGCAGTGATAATGTGTCTTCTATTGTAATGATTTTTTTTAAAAATTTAAGCATTTCAGCTGTGTTCTGACCACACCCCTAAAACTGTCAATATCACTTGAAATGAATTTACCTTGATCCTCGGGCTCGGTCACTGCTTTCCTTCTAAAAAGCTCTCTTTTATAAAATTCAAATCTCAGCTGTGTGGACAAGGATTCCTTGGGTCCTAAGGAGATGGTTCCAAAGCAAGCTGCCATTTGGAAAGGTGTCTTTTGGGAGCAGAAAATAAGTAACCACTGTCTTGTAAGACTTGGTAATGGGGTTGGTTTCGATAACCTGTGAGTTCTGATTCCGTGGGTTGGGGTCTCAGGACCAGCAAATCATGACTAAGTAGCATAGGGCACAACACAGAGACATGAGCTTAAAATGTGTTGAACTCTTTCCATGCATATTCAACACACACACGCACACGCACACGCACGCACACGTCACAGAACGTTTGCCACAAGTCAGATGGGAAGACACATTACGTAGCTTGCAGAGGTCTTGAAGAATAGCCACTCACAGTGAGACCAAGAGAAAGCAGCTCCCTGGCCAAATCAATCCCCCCACTCCCCTCTCCAGCCCGGTGGCCTGTCACTCAGGCTCCCCCTCAGGAAGACCAGATGCAGGGTGCGCAAGGGCAGCAGGGCTGTCTTTATTAAGATGGAGTCAGGGAAACTGAGCTCCTGCCAACCCTCTCCCGCGTGGTCTGGGTGCTGCAGCTACAGTCTGCAGCAGTGCTTGTGGCGACTCTTACACTCCGCGGGCAGGATGGAGCAGCCTTGGGTTTTTTGGTGTTTGCAGGCTCCGCCCATCTTCCCACATTCCAGGTAGATATTGTTTCTTCTGTACCCTGTGGAGGGAGGGGCAAGGTGAGAGAGCAAAGATGCAAACATACTAGAATTTACCTAGGTCAGCAGGGGTGAGCAAACAAATGCCAAGAGGGCCAAAAGAAAGTGCCAACTGGAGCATGACCTGCGAAATCAGAGTGGTTTTCACACTGGTAAATGTTTGAAAAAAATTCAGAAGAAGAATATTTGGTAATATCTTAAAATGATATGAAAGCTAAATGTCGGTGTCCCTTAATAAAGTTTAATAGGCAGATAGCCACTCACACATGCACACCTTCTCCACGGCCGCTGTTGAGCTAAACGCAGACATGGGTTGCTATGTCAGAGAGCTTATGGGCCCCAGAACCCCAAATTTCTGATTCTTTATAAGGAAAACTCATGGCCCACTGTACAACAGGCCCCTTCCTTTTCAGATAAAGAGGCTCTGAATCAGAGAAAGCACTTAATTTGACTGTGTCTCAAGATTTGAATTGTATTTCACTTCTGCTCACATGTTCTCAAAAAGTTTCCTGAAGTGCCTGCCTCCTCCTTTAAAGAGCAAGCTTCACAAGTGTGCAGCACAAATTAGGCAATAAATGTTGGGGGGAGTGATTAACTGGAGGGGTGATCTGGCTGTGAACACTGGGTCTCCCTTACTTTATGCAGTATGTGTGGTTTCACATACTGCATAAAGGATTTAAATGTCGAAGTCATGGCACATAACAGGCACCAGTCTTCTGTGCTCTAGTGAGTGCGTCCGGGAAAGAAATGATATGTGATGCAGAAGGTTGACTAGAGCAGTTGTGACAGCAACGGGAGAGTAGCGAGAGCTTGAGCCATCTCTACGGTCCAAGGAGCCAGAGCGGTAATGCCAGATCACCAGCAGGAAACCATGACAATGAAAGGTTTCCATCAGAGTAGATGGCTTCTAAATGCAAAGCATACTCAGGTAGGAATTAGGGGATGTTGCTTCTAATTCCTGCCACCATAACTATAGTTGTGGGAGAGCAGATTGTTTTCATAAAACGGGAAGGATAAATACAGACCTGTAGATGTATGCCCAGTCTGTATTTATATCCACAACTCTTTCAGTCTGCTCTCTCTCGCTCTCTCTGTCTCTCTCTCTCCTTATCTAACCAATCTATCACCCATCTCTCACATCAGGCTGCTGAACATACACCTCTCACTTTAGGTTTTCTTTATACCAAATAGCATTCTCTTCTGATCCTTAACTGGGGACAGCCATGACACTGCTTGGTAATGAATTTTGAACAGAAGTGACATGTCCTTTCAGAGGTGAAATATGTCCCTAACTGCCAGCGCGAGACTCCTCAGAGTCTTTCTTTTGCACTGACCAGCAACCTGGCCGCAGGGGCCTCATTGGCTGAGTATGATCAGCTCCAGAGAGCAGGGAATCCTTGTGGCCTTGATGCATTTGGACCACAAATCACAAATCAACGGCTAAATCTCCTTTTCAAAAAATCTCCTTTTCAAAATGCTGAGTTTTGAACATTGTTTTCACTAGAGCAGTGCAGAGCCAGAGCCAACACGCGAAGCATCAGGTGAAACTGGGGCCTCTTCAATTTGCATTCCAATGAAATATTGATGATCTTTAGGGTACGCATGTGCCAGACGTTGTCTGAGCCACACTCACACAGCAAGGCACTCACTGCTTATGTAAAACACAGTGAGGAAATTTATTCTTAGGAATTGTTGGGTGTTTAGTAAGAACATTGTCTGCTGTTCTAATCCAACATGCGCTTAAGTCTGGGGTACATTACGTTTAATCTGTGTGGCTCGGAACCTGTTTTGCCATTTCTAAGTCTCACACGTGAGGCGCTGTACGTGCATGTTCAAGTCTGATTTGTGATTTTACTAAGGGAAAGATGGCCGACATTTGCTCTAATTATATTTTTCTAGTTGCTGTTATTTTTATTCACATGGAAATGCTTTGTAATCTCTGGAGCCCACAGTAAATATAATAGATTACAATTTGAAACTATGTCAGTAATCTATTAGGACTCATCAGAGGTGATCTTGGGCAAGTCTTTTTCTCCAAGCTTTTCTTTCCTCATCTGTGAGGTGGAATGTGCTTCACATTCTGTGCCTCCCCAGCTCTGGTCTTGTTCTCTTACACACTGTGGTGCTGCAATGGGTTGAGAGCCAACGTGGCACACTGTGGATTTGCAGCTCACCTGATGCTGCCTGGGTAAGGCAAACCGGAAGGAGAACCAGAAGGGAGAGCAGCCTCATGATGGGAAGCGAGTCTCAGGGTTCCAGGAGGGCCCGGAAGTGTTTGAGGCTGGCCCGGAAGTTTGAGCTGGATTGATCCTCAGTGCACAGTGGCCACAGGAGTCTGGAAGAGATTGCAAAGCTCAGCTGATGAGGAAAGCTTACATTGGGTGGACTGATACTCAGCTCAGGGCCTGAGAATGTCTCGTGATTGAAACCGTGATTACAGATCCAAGTTTCTTCCTGTGAAAAAAGGAAGGGCTTTATAGTATTGGATTTTTATTTTGAATAATGTTTTTAGAAGAGAACTTTACAAAAGAATGTTATTTGTGAATCCCCACTTATTCATCCATCCTTCTTGTATGACCCTGCTTTTGGCTTTCCCTTTAGAAATACAAAATAATTAAAATAAATCCTCCCTTATTAAAATCTACAAAAGGAGAAGCGGGTTTGTAACTAAAATTACCTTCACTCCTTATTCACTCTCAGTTACTTTTTTGCTGCCCGATTAAAGGACAGACTCTACCCACAGGCAAGGGAAGCTCTGACGATGAGGAGCTCTTGCATAGACCCCAGGCATTAGCAAGCGGGGAATTTCTTAACAGAGATGTCGCAGCAATACTGTCTTGGAGTAAAATGAGTTAAATAGCAGAGTGCATAGAAATAAACCACTGACATGCCGCTTCATCTCTTCTTCTATTTTGCATTTTCCCCTTAAATTATGTCTCCCTCCTTCACTGTAGTATGAATTTCTAAAATAACAAGTCCTGTTTCATTATCTTTCACACACAGCACCTTGAATAGTAGTTGGTATAAAGAATGTACTTAAATAACATGGTTTTAAAAATGAGTACATTTTATGAAGGACTCAATGAATGGATGAATAAATGGATTATGGAGAAGGAAGAAAGGAAGTGTGTTATGATCTGCATGTTTGTATGCCTCCAAAGTTTATGTGTTGTAATGCGAATCCCCAGGGTGATGGCCTTAGGAGCTGAGGTCTGAGGTGGAATTAGGTGACAGAGTAAGACCCCTCAAAATGGGATCAGTGACCTTAGGAAAGAGCCAGCGACACTCATTCATTCCTTCTGCCATATGAGGGAACACCAGGAAGGCATCATCTATGAGCAGAAAGCTCTCAGCAGATGCTTTGATCTTGGAATTCTCAAACTCTAGGAGTCTGAGAAATCAATTTCTGGTTTTACAGATTGCCCAGTTGATGGTATTCTGTTGCAGTAGCTTGAAGGGACCAAGACCAGAAGGAAGGATAAAAGGAAGAAAAAGACTGAGGAGGTAGAGAGAGAGGGAACTCAGGGACCCAGGCCTCTCTATTTATCTGAAATTGGTTCCCGGAATTGAGTAACCAGTGCAACTCTTGAGGCAGAAGTAGATTGTGGCTGATATTTGAGATCAGAGAAATCACACAGTGTCTGAAGTAGAGGGATAGAGAAAAAATGAGTTTTGTCTAACAGTTAAAAGATCTCTGGAGTCAGATAAACATAGTTCAGTCTTTGGTTTACCACCCACTGATTGTGCAAATAACATTTTGCAGCCATAGCTCCTCTTGTGTTCACTGGGGATGATTATTTTGCCAGCCTCCTTTCTTGCTGTCAGAAAAATGAGGCTGAGCAGGTTTTCATGGCTGACCTGCAGCATTTCCTAGAAAAGGTCTTGCTGAGTCTAGGATCACCACTGGGACATTCAACCCAAACACTAAACAGGGGCTTTTTAGTCAATTTATGCATCCATAGAATCACACAGGGTGTTAGTGTCTTTCATCCTTTGAAGAATATTGAAATTTGAAAGTAAACAAATGTAAATTCTTCCTTTTTAAGCTCATGAAATTAGACATTTGTATTGAAGGTGTGAAGATTTTTGTTGTAGAAAAAAGTTGGTCTTAGAAAGAACAAATGTTTAGCGATATTCATAAATCCAGATTGAATTTTAGTTTCTAAGTATTAAACCTTAATAAGTTTGCATAATGTTATAAAGTAATATTGACCCTCCTCTTATCACTCCAGTAAGAAAACGTTCTTAAACACCTGGTGTACACTATGAGTATTGAAGATGCTATTTTAGTTCATATAAGTTCCACGTGAGATAGATGATCCCAATCACATTCCCTTCCTAACACACACAGAATCATACACATTATTTGCAATTCCAGAGGGAACCCCAAGAGGGCTTTTCTGGTCACATCAAAATTGACTTGCTGTCCTTATTAAAACTTCATGGCACTAGGGTAAACTCAAATTATTTTTTGAACAAAATTAAGGTATCAGTAAAAGACTTCTTTAACATTTTAGCCCAGGTAACAGCTACTGGGCTTCTGGGGGGTCTGGGGAGGACCCACTAACCTGCTCTGTGTCTCTGAGCACCTGCACCCACTCGTTGCTCCTTCCAAGACCTCACAACCCACAACTCCTCCACCTTCTCCTTGGGAACAACAAGGTGTGCTCAGTACATGAACTAAACTCACTTTTCACATTTTTTCCTGGTCCAGAAGTCACTTAGGGATAAGAAGTTCTCCACTCAGACCTTTCAATCAGCAGGAATCTATTTAATTGAGTGATCTGGAAACTAAAAGTCAAGTGTTTATACTAAAATGTTCAAATGAGTCATACTTAGTTCAATTCAGAAGCTTTGAGGGTTTTATACTCCCTATCTGAGAAACAGCACATTTACAATATGATGACGATAATACTGGTATTTTGGTCCATTCGGGCTCCTACCACAAAATTCCTTGCAGTGAATAATATGCAAAGAACAGAAAGCTATCTCACACAGGTGTGGAAGCTGGGGAACCAGCTGACTTGGTGTCTGGTGGTCACCCATTTTCATAGAGGTGGCTCCTCCTTTGTCCCCACGGGGTAGAAGTAGCCAACAAGCCTTCTTCATAAAGGTATTATTCCATTCAAGAGTCACTTCCTCAAACCCCACCCTTTAATACCATGATTAGGGTTTGTGTTTCCATGTGAATTTTGGGGACAAAACTAATCAGACAGAAATACTGATGCTGCTGCTGAGAGTGAGAAAGGACACATGGAAAGCTTTTATCCACATTCCTATTTCCTTTACGTGTACAGTGAAAGGAATCCCCTCAACTGTCTCCCACCAAAAATGTCTCTGGGAAAAGCTTACTGTGTGTTGTTCCTCCACATACACAGGCGTACGCTGCTCTTGAGGCAGGGATCCTGAGAGCAGGGACCCATTACCACGTGACTGTGGGGTCATAATGACTTGGGGAGCTGTGTGACATCATACGAGGTGCATTGTGATGCCGCGGGCCACAGTGAGTGCTGAGAAGCACGAAGGCAAAGGAGGCCAAGAGGAAGTGGGGACTGGGTAGACACCATTGCAAAGGCTTTCGCTGAAAATCTGAGCAAAACTGAGAGACACTAGCTCAAGGACGGGTGGTGCAGTGTTAAAGAAGAGGAGCTTGTTTTGGGTTGATTGAGTCAGTAGGGGAAATATGACAGGAGAGATGGTGACAGAGGAGTCACTGGAGCCATGTTCGTAAGGAAACAGGAGAGATTAGCTCCAGAACCCAAGTGTGAAGGGCAGCTACTGCCTAGAATACGTGCAGTTCTTCCTGGGGACCCGCCACCTCCCTGTTCACATAGAAAGCAACTTTCTGCTGCTGGAGTCAGAAAAATATTCCTTCCACACAACACCCTGAAAACAACACCCCGGAATACTACTATGATGAAATATGCATAGATTTTAAAGGATAAAACTTACCCATTAAAAATGAGTAACAATTCCAATAACAATGATGATTGGAAATTAATAATAAAATCAAATTACACTTGAAATCATTGAATAAGAGACTGTGAAATAAGCCAAAAGTAAAGAACAAAATGTAAAGGGGGGACTATGATATGAGATGGGATTCAGAGAGAGTGAATAATGCAACAAACTGAAAAGGTAGAGTCTAAGAGGGAAAGCTTGTTGTTATTAAGGAACAAAAATTCCAAATAGGAGAATTGAAATGCTGTGCATATAAGAAGTGGAGTTAAGATTTTGTAAGGCACGAAAAAGCTTGAGAAGAGACAAGAAGTAAGATCCCTGACTATGAAAAAGGAGAGGCTGCAGAAAAGGGATTACCTTTCCTGTTGTGGATCTTCTATTGGTACCTAGAGGCCATGTCTCTTGCTGGCACAGAATCTAGAAAAATTCCCCACCCCACATTCTCTCCTTGTTGCCAGAAAATTGGGGGAGAAAAGGTCCAAGCAAAGTATCCTGGCATTTTCTAAAAAGCATGACAAGACCAGAGTGGATGGATGTGTAGAAACAGAAGGGATGCTGAAGATGCAGCCACCTGATGGAAGATCCAGACAGTGCCAAGTCTAGAGGCTGCCCCGGTGGAAGGGCCTGCTGCAGAAAGAAGGCTCCTGAGCTGGGCCTCATCCACAGCCCCTTTTCTATCAGCTTCTGCTAGGCCTCCCTTCACCCTGGTCTCCTCACGTGTTCTCTTCTTTCTTCTCTTTCCTGCTGACATCTTTCTTCTCTCTTTCAAGCCAGCAGTCAATTATCTTGGGGCTCTAGACTAGTTTTGATATCACAGTCCTGTGAATGGACAGAAGGTAGCCATCATTCCAGTTCTGTATCTGTTAAATAGTTGAGGTAAATGCTTTCACTTTTCCTTCCCTCATCACTTTCTCTTTTCTGTGTTTACTAACTTCTTCCTTCACTGACTCTTTCCTATTTTTATTCAACAGATATTACTGAAAAATTTACTTTTACCAACCACTTTACTAGGCATTAAAACGTTAAAGTAAGCTTCAAGAGATGAGTATCTTATCCCATGAGACTCACCGATGGCAATTCTGACACTGAACAGACAATTACACCAAGGGATAAATAAGAACAAGGAGAGTGGAGAACAAGCCATTCGGGCAATGTCAGCTCCTGTTTGAAGGAGTCTGGAGAAGTCACATCCTGAGGAAACAGGGCCAGCAGGAGGAGCAGAAGCTGTGGCTGGGAGGCAGCAGCCACATGGTGAGAGCAGGTAGCTGGAGGGAGGCAATGCAGGGGCCGCTGGCAGATGTGTCAAAGCCCAGGTATCTGAGTGCACTTGAGGGCAGCTGAGGACACAACTCTGTTGTTCAGTGCAGGCGCATGATGGACTTTGTGATAATAATAATGAATCAGTATGGATGACCACGTATGTACCTCATGGCTATGCAAGGTGGCTGTTTTGTCTTACTGTGTCTCAGAAAAACTGATAATGGCCATTATAAGTGGTATGTTGTAAAATTAAAGTTTGGTTCTTGTTCTTTTGTGATGTCTGCTCCACATGTGTTCTTTACTTTGGGAACCTCATCTAACTGTGCCTCCTTTCAGCCCACTGGCCCAATAGGCAGGTACCAGGCTATACCTGCTATGTTAGCATTTTGATTATTTCTGAGCCAAGGAAACTATTGGACGGCTCTAGGAAGATTTGTTTTCAAATATGATCTGTAAAAGTTTTTGAAGCTGTCACAGAATAATTTTCTATGTAAATGAGAAAGGGCCCAGGATTTAGCTCAGTGGTGCTGCGCCTGCTTTGCAAGCTCAAGATCCTGAGTTCAAACCCTGGTACTGGAATAAAAAAGAGGTGACTACATAAAATGAGAAACTTTGATAAAAATTAATATAATTCTTCGGGCAATAGTGCCTTGTTTGCCAGGAATAAAAATCTAATGGTGTGATTTTATTCCTCAGGAGCTTCCCGGCCTGGTCCCCTGAAATCATAAAATGCACACAGCATGAGCTGCTCCTCAGCCCATGGGCAGCCTATGCAGCACAAACCCTGGTGTACAACTTGAAGTAAGAAATTTTCACAGGACATCAAGTCTGGGATCACCTTGAGGGGCAAGAGTGTAACAGGTGCACCGGGGAATTTTGTGAATAACATAAAATCATGCATATCCTTCAAAAATATTGTCACTTTAAAAAATGTTAGTTTAATTTTATTTCTATGCACTTGCGGTACATAAAGCTGACATTCATCTTAGGGAGCAGGTGCATGTACATAGCACAGCTTGATTCTTTTTTATCCCCTTCCAACCACCTTCATCTTTAAATCCCCTTTCCTCATTTTCATTGTTATTGTTATTATTATTTTTAGCTCATATATATGACATATAGTGTTAAATACCATATGGTATCTCTAATTTGAGTAAGGCAAAGTACAAATAATGAGCACAATGTTGTCACTTTTATATTATCTTTGTGGCTCATTAAAAATATCTAAGTTTTAGATCTTTGGTACTAGTACCTTTTATGGTCACAACATACACATTTTAAGCAATCAAATAAAACTGAATGGCTTGAGAAGTAAATATTTGAACAAAAGCACAACCAATACAGAAACATTGAAATGACTTGACCTTCAAAATCAAAAGCATGCATTTAAGGATGTGCTTTGCCAAATAGGAAGAATAAGATGATAGCATGTAAATTGTGGTTTCAGTAGAATATTTAAGGCTATGGTGTAGGGCTTTGTTTAAAGCAGCACTATGTTTCTGCATTCTTTCCACAGTGTAACTCTGGCACACTGTTCTGTCTCGTGGAAACGAGGTGATCCACCCTGCCACTTAGGGTTACCAGAGAGGATGGAGACACTCCGGAACCGAGTCCAGCACTGCAGCCCCTGACCACACATTTCTCCTGAGCACGTGCAGTGGGGCTGGTGAATGAGGAAGAGGATTTTAATTTTTATTTAATTAATAAATATTCTGTTTCCTTACATTAACTCTTTTTTTATTTTTAAAAATTTTTTTCCATTAAGTTTATTGGTACATTTTAGGTACACAATACAGTTACATTCATCATTGGGATCTTGTACCTGTACATGAGTATCTTAGTTCTTATTTTTTCCCCATTCCTCTGCCCTCCCTTCACCCCCTCCACCCCTCTCTATTTACAAAGGCTTTGTTTCCATTTTTTCCTTTTCTCATGTTTTTTTCTTTTCCCTTTCCTTTCCCCCACCCCTCCCACTTCCCCTGCTCCTTTAGACCTTTGCTTTCTATTTCTGGGTAAGTGCGGTGAGGATTCAAAATAATACCTTAGATTTTCTAAAGTCTCAAGACAGAGAAAAGAAATGACACCTTGTTAGGGTAAAAGTATTTTTCTGTGGATTGATGGATTTAGTTGCATGACCAGGGGAGGGGATCATTGGCCACAGATACAAATTAAATTACCAAAGTGTTTTGCATTAAAAATGATATCATAATGCCATACTTTTAAAATTAAATAAAAATATAAGAAAATAAATTTTGGATCTTACCCTTAAATTGTACTACACAAACCAATAGCTTCACTTTGATCTCAACCAATCATATCCCATCTTTCACCACGTACTTTTAAGTGTTTTTTATTCAAATGTAGATGTGTGTAGATGTGTTGTTTCTAGTGTTTGGAAATATCTATCTTTAATTGTAGTGTAGAGATTAAGTTTAGTATAGTAAACAAAGCAGTCACTATGAGAGAGAGAGAGAGAGAGAGAAAGAGAGAAAGATTGATTATCTCCTTGAAAGGCATACCCCAAATGATGTAATTTCACCTAACCAGGTTGATTTCCAAATAATAAAATCCCCTTCCAACAGCACCACAGTATGGTGACCAAGGCTTTAATATACGGCCTTCAGTGAACATGTAAGACCCAAATAACAGCACATCATGATATTTCACTCTAATTATCTCAGTTGATCTTAGCCAAAAGGCCAAGAAGTGATGCTCTAATTATCTCAGTGAACATTTTTAAGGAACAATGGAAAATTCTCATATATTTCACAGTAGCATCTGCACACTTTAAAAAGGATGAGTGCTAGTAGCATCGAGCATATAGTATTCAGTATTCACATTTCCCCTCTTGTTCCAAGTATAGGCTCCATAGTCATTGTTGTTGCTATTTTTCCTTTTTAAATCTAGAGTTTCACATTAAACATGCTGTTCTGTCTCTATTACAACAAGCTTTTTAAGAACTAATTGTAAATGTTTTTGGAAAGGGGCTTTATTGGATTTCAAAGGTTGAACAGAGATAGTAATTTTTGTATTTCTCATGTTTAGCATTAAACCTTACTTATTTTTAAAGACTCATATGCTTACAATTATTTAAAAAGTAATGCACTCTCATTTAAAAATCCTCCCACAAAAAAGGATGAATTTCCCCTGGACACACAGAGAACAACTGAACAACCAACAGTTCTGTGTGTGTGTGTGTGTGTGTGTGTGTGTGTGTGTGTGTTTGTACTTTTGCTTTGCCTTGATCTCAGATCACTTGCAGCTTCCTTCTAGAGAATGTTATAGTTTAGATTTACAGGGTTTTCCAAAAGTTTCATGTGTCTAGAAGAGGGGATGTTGGAGGATGCTTTGATGATAGTGGCATTGTTCATTAGTGGATTGATTCATAGCTGAATGTGCTTTCGGAGGTGGAGCCAGGTTGGGGGAAGTGAGTCACTGTGACCTCCACCTAGGAGTGTGTATTGGTGCCCCCAGCTCCTCTCTCTCTCTTTTTCCTGACTGTAGGTGAGCAATATCCTTCTTCCACATCTTCTGCTGGGCCATTCCTGTCTTAGAGCCAACCAAACTGGGAATGCAGCCTCTAAAATTCGAGGCAGTGATGGGTTTCAAGTATTTTGTCATAGTGACAGAAAAGTTGACTAATGCAGAAAATCCTTAACTGAAGTGAGGCTATTGTTGTGACTGTACCTGCAGGTGACTCAAAAGCCTTTGGAGCTGTCCTGTGGGACAAGTTTGAAAAGGTGTGGAAATGCCAGCTGGAGAGGCCCCAGAATGTTGTAAGCACAGCTCGATGGGTAATTCTGGTCAGACCTCAGAAAACCACAGTGACAGTAAGATTGCTAAGGCCAGGCTCATGAGGTTTCAGATGGGAATGAGGACTTTATTGGAAACTCTACTACATCCCATATGTGTTGCAATCTGGAAAAGAGTTTGTCTATGTCCTGCTGATGTCTTTAGACTTTCTGCAAAGTCGAATTTAAAGGTAAAAGGTGAATTGCTCTGATGGACAAAATTTCAAACCATCTCAATATTCAAGCTGTGGTATGAGTTCTGCTGGCTATTTTCTTCCAGACCTGCAGTGAGAATCAGGAGTCAGGAGGACAAATAATTTGAAAATTTTGAAGCATCACTAAAAAGGAAGTGTCTACAAACTTGGGGCAAAGGAGAGCATGGTGGCTGAAAAGTTAATACTGTTTAGGTGTCTTCTCATTTCTATTTTGTTGTTGTTGTTTTTGATTTATTTCCTGGATTGATGCTTGAATACTGCTTATTATGAGTATCTTTACTGCTAGCATTTAGATCCCTTAGAGAATGGCTATTTATGAGATTGTCTTTCAGGTACAGCTGGCCTTTGGGTTGCCCTTAGGCAATCTAGTTTTGGTATACCAGGAAGGATAACTGACTAGAATAATCAAGTCACCTTGGCCAAAGTAATACAATCACCATCAACAACAGCTTCAGACACAGCCTAGAAGGTGACAAACTATGGGAACTATTGATCTACCACCTTTGATCCTATCAACTAGTCTTATGGTTGTACACCAAAATCTAGTAGAGGGCTGGGGATTTAGCTCAGTGGTTTTGCCGTCTGCTGCGCAAGTGCAAGGACCTGAGTTTGATCCCTGGTACCCTCCCTCCAAAATCTAGAACCAATCAGAAATATGTTTGCAGTAAATATGAGCTTCAATATAGTGAGTTTGCCCTCAGGGGGAAGACTTTGAAGGAATTTGGGGGTGGTTAGATAAATAGAAGGAGAGAGAAAGGTTAGAAGTAAGGCTAGAGGACACAGGAAGATGATGCAAACTTTGGGAAACTGGTGAGGACAACAGGAAAAGAGAGAAGGAAGGAACAAAAACAAGAACAGAAGAAATGAGCAACAACAGGAAAACTAGAAACTGTATTCATGCTTCTATAAAAGTAAGAATCGAGAAAACAAAATAAGACAAAAGCAGGAAAAAGACAAGAAACAAAGAAGAGAAAAAGAAAGAGAAGAGAAAAATAAAACAATGTTCCCTTCAAGGTGTGTCTCTGCTCTCAGCTGTGCACAATGTGGCAATGATGGCCTTTCTGCTGCCTCTCACCTGAGGTCTAGATCCCAGTGGTGGCAGGTCCCTCAGGGCGGGGCTCAGCAGAGCGGTTTTCCCCAGGTGGGCTTCTCCAGGCTGGTCTCAGGCCAAGTGCCTCTGAAAAGTGAGTACTAAAAAGAAGAAAATACCTTGCATCAGCACAATAGAAAAGATGGGTTGATGGTATCTTAGGAGATGGCCAGACTCTTTCCTGCATAGGCTCAAAGATGTAATAAGGCAAAGAACTTTGGAAGACTTTGTTCTGAGAAGATATGGAAGAACAGGATGCTCTGTTCATTCAGTTGCCATATTTACTTGAGTTCAGCCACCCAGCTCTCACAGGCACCTGAAACCATGGACTAAGGGGCAAGGCTACTGCTTACATTGGCAGCAAACCTGTGTGCTGTCCACATGAACTTTTAGGCATATAGAATGAAACAATTGCCAGGTCCTGGTGGCTTCCACGCAGATTTCAAAGGAAGGCCTGCAGAGCTGGCAATCTATCCCTGAAAGAGTGATATATGAAATGGGAGAGTGAAGAAAAAGGTGTCCTGAAGACTCCAGGAACATGTGCTCTAGTTAGGGTTTGCAAAGGAATAGATTTAATACAGGGCACATAATTTATAGGATTATTTTATAATATTCACCCAAAATCTTCACCCAGTGAAAGAGATCTGACAACACACTAGAGACCTGAAGAATCCAGCCGAAGGCCTTGATCCCACAGCAGTGTCTTGCACAAGTCCAGGTGAAGGCCTAGAGCCCTAGGTAGAGTCCTCCAGGAATCCAGCCAAAGGCCTGGAGCCCACAGCGATGTGTCTTGCAAGTCTGTATCAAGGATCTGAACTGAGAAGGCCCAAAGGCCAGGGGTGGAAGCTAGATGGCTTGTGCTGGCAGGGTGAAGGCTCTGTGTCACTAGGCTGAGGGAGCTGCACTGGAGTCAGGAGGCACTGCTCAAGGTGATGACCAGAGCTCCCCTGATGAGAACAGCAGCCATCCTCAGTGACTGCAAGGACTTGAGCCAAGTTCACATCAACAAAACCAACCAGGGCAAGCTTCTTCAGGAAAATCAACAGTGTACAATCTTCCCCTCCAGTTCTCCTTTTATTCTGTAGGCAAAATTCTCAGGTGGGTCTTCCATGCCTAGAACCATGCCTGGAACCACTCAGCTCAGCTGTGCATCCCAAGTTGACCATTAGTTACTTCACCATAACATGAAACTGAGGGAGTGGAAAACAAGTGGACAGAATCAGCCTCAGAGAGAGGCTAGAAGAGCTGCAACCAGCAACCCTATATGTGGAAGGTCACCAAAGCCCTTCAGAACTTAAATGGTACCCCAATCTACCCCAGGCACTGAGCCAGGAGCTCCAGAGTTTTCTGTTTACCCTGCTGCACTTCAGACTTGCTTTAGCTCCACTCTTCTTCCTTTTGGAAAAGGGAGTGTTTGCCTTGTGCCATTGAATGTTGGAATTATTTGACTTTCATTTTTGAGTTTTACAGGGACTCACAGCTAAGTTTGCTTTGAGTCTCAAGGAAGATGCTGTTCTTTCTTTGTTTTTTGGTTTTTTTTTTGGTACCAGGGATCGAACTCAGGAACTTGCACTTGTGAGGCAGGCACCAGAACCACTGAGCTAAATCTCCGGCCCTCTTGGACTTTTCAACAATGCTGGAGCTATTAAGATTGTTGGGCACTTAGAACTGGGCTAAAGGAATTTTGGATAATGAAACGGGCATGAGACATTTGGGTGCCAGGGTTGGAATGCTATGGCTTGGGTGTGAAATATTTCCAGAACGTCTCTTGTGTTTGGAAGGTGATGGGATCATGAGAGTGCTTAACTCATGAGTAGATTCATCCTGTGTTGAGTGGAGTAAATGGTGACACAGTTATGGAGTGGTACCTGCTTGGATTTCAGTCTATGGGAGTTGGACCCGGAAGGGTACAGTCTTGTCCCAGATTGCTCCTCTATTGTGCTTCCTGGATGCCGTGAGGTGAGCAGCTTTCCACTGCATGTCCTTCTAACATGTCATTACTAACTTCAGTACAACCAATCAAGGTCTGAATTCTCTAAAACATGAGTCAAAATAAACCTCTCCTTTAAGTTGCAAATGTTGGTCATTTTGTTACAGTAATTGGAAAGCTAACTACTACCAAAATGTTTCCCCAAGAAAAGAGCAGTTTCTTCCTCAGTTTTATTATCCACTGCCAGAGCCCACAGTGTTAGTTATGCCCAAAGCATGCCGTAAGCAGTGCAGGCTGCAGAGTTAACTTCCTCAGTTGGCTTCCTTTAAGTAGCGAGTCTGACTGAAGCTTCGTGACTCACAGAAGTGCCTCATGAGCACTGCAGTACTGCACAGGTCAACATGACCTCCCTGCTAACGACCACAGTGGAGGTCAGAGTAATGGCCTATGAGATAACATCTGTAGCCGAGGTCAGAGTAATCGCATCCAAATTCCATTCCCACAATTAGTGCCTTCATAGCTTTGAAGGACAATACTCTAATTACAACCATATATTTTGTCTATCTTGCTTCTAATTTGAAAATGCTTTGACTTCTCTTTAAAGCCTTGGCTGCATTAGTTTCCATGGTAATTTCACCTACTGCACATCTATACATGGACCTCTACCCTGATTGATGAATAATAAAATTCGGTGGGAGAGACGGGCCAGTGCCTTTTGCCAAAGGAGCGTTGGCCTTCCCAGTTCACACCTTCTCTTTAACTCAGCCTTAAGTTTTTCTTCAACCTTGCATCGCACATTGGGCAGGTGGGGACTAGAGACTTGCTGCGGGAGTCTCTGGCAAACCACTTGGAGAATAAGAATGAATGAGATAATCACAGTGACTGGTTTATTCACTGTACTAAATTTCAACTGTACTGTATAGTCTTCGTAGATTGTAACAAGCCCCGGAAAACAAACCATCTATTTTGAATGAAAAAAATACTTCAATTACCAAAAGTACACGAATAAAGACAGAATCTGATTGCCTGGGGTGGAAGTGGGGCTGAGTAGTGAAATGTCAGGGTTAGATCTGGTCTGTAGCTGAAATCTTGATATTTAATTGATCATGAGTTTTTGGTGCATTAGATTAAATTCATTAAATAATATTGCATTATACTAACATCTATCTTTTGGTAACTTAATTTGAACGTGTGACCAGACCCTCTTGTCAGATGTATCTACCTAGATTAAAAGATTTTTACTCTTACAAGGTTTCATTTCTTTTTTTCTTCCCGAGGCTTTAAGGAATCCATGACATTGCCTGGGATCACAATTCCATACACCCAGAAGGAGATTATATGCCCACTGAATGAAGAGTTAATATAAAGAGACAAGAGCTGTACACAAGTGTGACAGATCAGGACTTAGCCAAGAATGACCTTGGAATGAAGGTCAGGGCGTTTTAAATACCTGGATTCTTTTTACTGCCAATGACCTTTTGCTTTTTGATCTTGGCTCCCATTTCCCTGGATTCCATGTTTCATTGTTGTCCTTAGTGTCTTCCTTAAAGACATATTTTCCCATTTCATTAGCTTATGACATACGTTTTCAACATTAAGAAAAGTTGATGCTACCCAGCTTTGGCATTCAATTTGTAATCATTTGTAATCAATTTGAATTAAGGTCTCCTCTCAGTGGTGAGTGCATAAATGAATAAGAAAAAGTCCACACCCATTGAGAGCTTCCACCCAAGGTGAGAACTCTAGTTCTACCAACATGTGAACAAGGTATCAATGAGAATGATCAGTGGCTGGAGAGAAATGAGGAATTGTGAAGCATGGAGGATGTAGAGTCTGCCTCTTCTGGCTCTGGGAAGCAGTGGACTCAGTGCCAGGACATGAAAGTGGGGACAGAGTGCTCAGGGTAGGGTAGGCTGAGCAACGGGAGGCAGTGGGAGAACAAAGGCCATGTGGTAGGAAAGCACCGAGCATACCTGGAAAGCTTGGAGGACCAGAGGGGAAAGAGGCTCATAAATCTGGAAGTCCCCATGAGCCAACTACAGTGTCCCTGGTCATCCTATATAGTGCTTAAGGGTGACCTGCAAAGATTTCAGATATGGATTTTTGTGAATTAAACTTCAAGAGTACCACAATTATAAAAGGCGTGATTCTTTAATTTCAGCAAAGTGGTTTAATTTGATAGGTCTTTATACAGGGACAAATTTCTGGGTCCATGTCTGTCATGATGGTCTTTCTTTACTATCATCTACAGCATTTGGAGAAAGGAAAGCCACAGGTGCCGATCAATTTCTGACGCTGACCACATTTGAATGTGCACGAGCCTCCATTTTGGTAGCAACTGACAGGATTGTTTACAGCTTCAGAAAAACCTAAAAAAAGAAAAAGAAAAGAGAAAAGTAACTGAGTTTTACACCTTAAATACAACATCAGAACAGGCACAAATCCTAGTGGGTTTCACTGTTAAAGTCGTGTTATTGCAGGAGAATGGAACACCACTCAAGGGTGATTTGCATCCAATTCTTGCCTTTGCAGGGCACCTGCACTTTCCTAGAACCACAGCAATGAAGGCCTTGATCAATCTGCACCAGGCAGGGGCTCTGCAAGCCAGCCTGCCCTGGAGGAGTTCACCTCTTGGGGACTCCACTTATGCCTGCATACACAAGCCAACAGTTTCAGCACTAGAATAGCCAGCAGTGGTCTGTTTTAAATGTCTGTTTTGCAACGTTTAGTTCATCAAACTGAGATGGGAGAAAAACGTACATCTGAAGTACTGGAATTGTTTAAAGAGCTCTTGATGCCTCAGGAAATTTACAGTTGAAAAAAATGAAGTCAACCTAAAGTTCTTGAATATTGTTTCTAGTATCTAATTTCTGGCTGCAACCTCATCCTTCCTTCCTTCATCTTTTTCTCTGTCTCTTTCTCTCCCTCTGTATTTGCTGTTGTTGTAAACACTGGCACATACTAAGGTCCATGGTATTTCTCAAAACCTGTTTGTTCTGTTTATATTTTAGGCTTCTTACATAAGAGAAACTGTGAGATGCTTAAGCGCGTGTGCCTGATTTATTTCACCTAACAGTATGGTCTCAAGGTGCATCCATTTCCCTTCAAATGACTCAAGTTTATCTTTCTTTAAGGCAGTGTAGTACTCCATAGCATGTAAATACCACCTTTTCTTTATCCATTCATCTTTTGATGGACATATAGGCCACTTCCAAGATTCAGCTATTATGAGTTGTGCTACTATAAATATGGATATGCATATATTACTATAATGTGATGTCTTTAGTGCTTTTGGAAAGACACCTAGAAGGGGAATAGCTGAGTTAAATGGAATTTCTAGTTTCAGGTTTTTGAAGAATCTCCACAATAGTACTGGTTGTACTATGTGGGGGGCCTTGCCCCCCTGCTAGAACTCTTGAGTGCCTTTTACGGACATATCCGGGCCTGCTGCAAATCCACCCGGCAACAAGGAAGTAGCCCCAGTACCCTCCTCTTGCTCCTCCCCTCTAGCCCTACGGTATATATGTTGTAGCAGCTTCCGCAATAAACGAGACTTGATCAGAAACCTGTCTTGTCTCCATCTCTCGTGTCCCCTGTCCTTTGTCATTCTCACCCCCCCTCTAGGGTCTCCGTTGACTTACCCGCGGGCCGGGACAGTACTAGTTTACATTCCCACCAAAATGTAGACAGGTTCTTTTTTTCCAGTAGCCTCTCCAGCACGTGCTATTGTTTGATTTCTGGATGATAGAAAACTGATGATAAGAAGTAGGGAGAGATATAGAAACAGAATTTATCAGGAAAGAAGAAAAGGAATATTCTTTCTTACACAACTCAAAAGAAAATGCACCAGCAATTCAGCAACAGAAAAACAGTTACTCTAGAGAAGGAGCTAAAACACTAAGTTTAATAAAAATACATCCTTATTCCAACACTCTCCAGGAAATTCCATTAAATAAGTCATCAGAAAGACTGACAGGTACATTGCTTAAGAAACACAAGAAAGAATATGTTTTCATACAGCCTCCTCAAGCAGAAGTCTCTGTGTATAAAGCAGAGACTCGAGACCCATATAGTAGGTATGGTAAATTAAAAACAAATTTTTTCAAAAGCTTGCTTTGAAACAACACTGAAAGTGAATCCTCTTGAAAAAAAGGAATATGTCAACACTTATAAACTGACTCTTCAAAAAAAACCCTGAAGCAATGTCATCACCATTTCCAAGAATTCCTTATTGCTGTATGCCTAGGGACAATGAAGGTTATTTAAATAGCTCTGCTTTCCCTTTATGCCAGGCTAACACTTTAACTCATTTCAATTTTAAGGCTAAAGAACAAGCAACATTTGACCAGTGTTTTCAGAGATTGAAAGAAAATAATAACAACAACAAAAACCACCTAGTAACATTTGGGCAATACCAAAAGGACACACAAACTCTGTATCTGAGCCAAAATGAAATTTGCAATGAAAATTGTGTCAAGTTTCCTGAATCACAATCATTTAAATATAACGAAGATGAGAAAAATTCTCAGCCATTCTTCTTCCCAGAAGTATTGAAGAGAGAAAATATAAAACTCAAGATTCAGAAAGAAAGAAAATATACTGGTAAACCAAAAAAGTTATCTAACAACATAGGAAGGCTGTTACCAACTGCTCTTCCCACCTTGACCATTCATCTAAGGAAATCTGTTCCAAAGACTTTCCTTCACTGGACTCCAAAAACATCCATACATGATTGTTTGGATGAATATGGGGATTTATATGTGACCCCAGTTAAGCATCCTACAAAAACAAAATCAAGAGCAAGACATGAAGGAAAGAACCCAGATGATATCCATAATCAGGGAAAACATGTTGCAAGACCTTATACTGCTCCAGAGCCTAACAAACAAGAAAGCTACACTAGAAAATTTCCAAGTCCTCGAATGGTTTCAGCAGGCTTAATCCACATCAATGATTCAACTCTAGACCACACTATGCATAAAATGTGGCCCCCCCAAATGATAAGAAGACATTGAAAAATGTTTACTCATTTGCGATGTTAAAATATTAATGTTAAGTGGATCAGAATGATATGTGAGTCAAAATATTCACTAACAAAATGGTCTGGAGATTGTTCTTGTATATTATTGATTAGAAGTTAGCAACCAAATTCCATCTTATGAGAATCATTTTGTTATGACTAAAATGAAAAATAAACACATTTGAAGTAAAAAAAAAAAAAAGAAGAAGTAGGGAGATACCTGTTTCTCAAAGTGGAAGGGCATCAGGAGATGGAGGTCGGAAGGGTGGGGGATGAGAAAAGGAATCAAGATGTGCTAGGTGTTGGGTGCATGTGCCGACTCCGCGAAGGAATGTAAGCGCTCTGCACCGCCAACATTTTCCAAAAGCAGGAAAGAAGAAGCGGGGCCAAGAGATGCGTGGACGCGAAGTGAGGGACGGGAAAGCGAGGTGGACGGGGGTTAGGCTGCACGGTGCACGAGTTCCAGCTCCCCACGCTCAGCGCAAGCGCCGTGTACTGTAAACGCGGGCTGACAAACATTGAAAAAGCCGCCTGGTTCTTACAAACAAAACCAAAAATGAAGCGGGTTTTCCCAATATAATTTCTATCTGATTCACGATCTCAGGTCCTGGCCTCACACCTTCCTTCCTCTCTCTGTGCCTCCCTCAAACCCACGGTGCTCTCCCCTCCGTTTGCTCCTTCCTTGCGCTGTTACCATGGTAGGAAGGGTGAACTAAAGCTCAGACGCGCAGTCTGGGAAACGGCCCAGTGCGGGGCAGGAGCTGTGTCCAGGGCTGCCCTGAAAACACCCAGGATCCGCGAGTCCTGAGCTCCCTGCCCTCCACTCCCTGTGAGAACAGCTGAAGTACAGGAAGGTACAGCTGCAGCCTTTAGATGTCTGTAGGGTAATGGTCTGCATTTCTTTATATCAATGTAAAATTTCTTTTAAAAAAACCTGGAAAGAAAGAAAGAAAATAAGTCACCACAGGTTTCACCCAAAATGAGCAGTTTTAGCATGCAGAGCAGTGAGGACACACAACTAAAAGCTGCAGGTTGGCTGAGGAGCTGTGAATCCAACTGAGATATTTTTTATGAAACAAATAAAAGTTTTATAACAAAGTAATAAGAGAATAACAAGAGTTAGTACAGTGTGTATCATTATCTTCAAAGTAGTCAGAGAATGAGGCATAGACAGAAAAGATTCTCTTACAAAGAAGGAACAAAAGATAATCTCACAAAATTTTCCTTTCAACAAACTAAGAGAAACTGGTAGTATAAATGAAACAAATTAGCATCAATATTAAAATATCCCCCTTCTAGGTACCTTCCCCCAAAGAGTTAAAATCATCATATTCCAGGGATACATGGATACTCATGTGTACAGCAGCACAATTTATAATGGCTAGATCTTAGACAGAGGGTATGTGTCCATCAACGGAAAATGGTTAAGGAAAGTGCAGAATTTACACACAGTGGGGTACTACTCTGCCATAAAGAAGCACACCGAGATTCTTAAACAACTTTCAACTTCTGGGAAATGGGGATCAGTTCTATCGTGCAATCCATACAATCCAACTGGTCTAAAATGCACTGAGAGAATGTAGAGGAAGGAAGAGGAGAGGGAGGAGAGAGAGAAAAAGGATGACAAGCTGACTGTTCAAAACAATAAGAGACAGGAGAAGCAGCTGGAGACAAAAAGAGATACAGAGAATGCAAAAGAGAATGACACTAATGAGAGAGAGAGAGAGGGAGGGAGAGGGAGAGGGAGAGGGAGAGGGAGAGAGGGAGAGAGGGAGAGAAACAAGAGAGAAAATCTGATTCAGCTCCATTGTGGATTTTGAACTGTTTACCACTTGCCTTCTTACCTGGCAGCATCAAGAAGAATACCAGGAGGATGGAGAAGAGGAAATGCAGGATCCTCATGATGATGGCAGGCAACAGGTGACTTCTGAAGCAGACTGGGACAGGAGGGAAGAGAGCTGCCTTATAAAGGTCCTGGAGCCCGGAGTGGATTCGACAGTGGAGGTGCCCTTGCTGGGCGTGTCAGAGAAAATCCCAAGGACAACAAAGAATGTCCAGTCACCAATATGCAAATTCTCCACAGCCTGGAATGAGGAGTTTCTTCCTTCCTTGCCACTTCAGGATTTGGAGAGGAGGGCCCAAAGGGGTGAGCCTGCTCCTGGGGCACAGGCTTAGGCTGGGACACCTTCGGCTCACTTGTTGCTCTGAGGAGCTCCAGCTCTGCCAGTTTTCTGCTGTTTCTGAGGATCTGGGGACAGTTTCCAACTCATCCTTCCTTGCCTGTGTGTATTTAATGTCTGTGGCTAAACTGGGCAGGCTGAGTTTCTGATTTCCTGGCTACAGAGATACACAGAGGGAAGGGGCTCATCTCCCCAGCTTGTCACAAGATGGTAAAATTCATGGAAAAGCTTTAAAAATTTGCCTTCCACCCAATGGATAGGCACTGAGTCAGGTGGGTGTGCCGTTTCCTTCCTCAGAGAAACACACGGGAAAGACACAACTGAGCATGGCAGGTCTCTCTGGGTTCACACAGGGCAATGTGAGTGATTCATCCGCCATTCTGGCCATGATGAGTTCCAGGAATCTTCTAAACATCCTAGTCCAAGTTTCCAAGACTTCTGTTGATGTCAATGATGACAATCTTGTTTGTCCTTTGGATGTTGTTGCTCAACCCTCAGTGGGGTTCCCAGTCCTTGCACTCAAAGGAGATGCTTTTGTTGGTGCTGTTTCTGGAGGTTCCCTGTAGCTCAAGGCTGTGCAAGTCCTCGGGCCTCAGAATGCCCATGTTCCTTTGTAACAAGGTAAATCCATTGCTGGCCATGGCAATGGACAGAGCTTGTGCAGGAGCTCAGAGGTGAGGCTTTTAGAGAGGAACTAAGAGGTGTGATGCTCCTTCCCTTGAATGAAGCTTACAGAGAGAAGCCCACAGGCAGAAATCTGTATCAGATCATCATTTTTAATTAGAACTATGAGGGAGGTCTAAGCAAAGTCCTGGGAGCATGGACAAAAGGGGAGGTCCTCTTTATGTACAGTGGCCATGCATTAGAGGCCCATGGTTTTCTGCTAGTCAGACTTATTTTTCAGTACTGGAGATTGAACTCAGGACCTTGCGTTTGCTAGGCAGGCGTGGTGCCACTGACCTAAACCCATGGCCCTCAGAGACTTTTTTTAAAAATTGAAGCATAGTAATTATATATCCTTAGGTAATTTAGTGTGATGTTTCAATCACATACACAATATGCAATGATCAAATCAGTTTCATCATTTGTTCATTTGGGAGTATCCCAAATCTCGTCTCTTAGCTATTTTGAAATATACAATGAACCACTGTTAACTGTAGTAACCGTAGTGTGCAATGGAATGCTAGGACTTAATCCTCCTGTCTACATTTCCTTCCTCCTTGGCCACATCTCCTCTCCCGCTCTGATGCCCTCCCACCCCAGCCTCTGGTAACCACTGTTCTACTCTCCAGTCTCAGATATGTCCTAGATATGTCCACAGGCATGGAAGGTGATCACGCTGTGTCATTAGGACTGGTAATGGCATTGTGATTCAAAGAGGAAATTTCTGATGGAGTAAGAAACAGGAGGGAATGTTGGGGTGCTCTGGGAAGTAAAGGAGGAAGTCCCATGACTTGAGAGCTACAGTCACCAGGGCACCTCCCCTCATCAGGACTCTGTTTCCCAGTTCCTGAGGAGGCCTGGGGTGACAGAGATACACACTCATTCTTGACTCTAACAGCATTCATTCCAGGCCAAGGAAATATAAAGAAAACTGAATGTGAAAAAAAGCCTCTATATGCTCCATTATTTTGAAGTAAGCAAACATCATGTGTTACTAAGCTTTCTATCACTGTGACAAAATACTTGAGAGAATCAACTTACAAGGTGGAAAGTTTTATTAGCTCACAATTTCAGAGTTTTTAGTCTGTTTTTCATTGACCTCACTGCTTTTGAGCCTGAGGGGAAGCAGAACATCGTGTTGGGGAGGACATAATGGGCTGACTGCTCAGCTCATGGCAACTGGAACAAAAGACAGAGAATGGAAATAAATAAGTGTGTGCCTCAATGTCCCCTTCAGTGGTACCCCTGCTGACAGAACTTCCTTCAACTAGGCTCCTTCTCCAACACTTCTGTCACTGCCCAACAGCACTTTAAGATAAAGATAGCAATCAATCTTTAGCACATGGCTCTCAGTGGACTTCAATATCCAAGGCACAATAAATACATCATGACATTTCACTCAAATTATCGCGGTGAGCATTTCTTAAGAATAAGGGAAAATTGCTATAAAAACCAGAGTAAAATTCATAAAAGTAAATGAAATGAATGTTAGTATAATTTAGTGTACTCTTAATATTGACATTTCTCCTTTGTTCCAAGTAGAAGCTTCTTAATTGTTGTTTTCATCCCCACAGGTCCATTTTAAATCTAAAGTCACACACAGAATCAGGTTGTTCTGTCTGTATTTATTAGTAAGCCATCTTAACAAGGAATCTTAAGGCACTGCTTGGATAAGGCCTTTATTGGATTTCAAACGTTGAACTAAATTAGTAGTTCTTTTCTTTCTCATCTTTTGCACTAATATTTACTCATCCATTTTTTAATGACTCATGTGCTTACAATTATTATAAAAATAATATGCTGTCATTTAAAAATCCTCCCACACAAAAGTATGAGTTTCTTCTCCACTCCTACTGGGACCCCAGAGAATCACCAACAGCACTTTTGTTTGTGCACTTTTAGTTCTGTCTCAAATCTCAGGGCATTTGTAGAGTTCGTGTGAGAGAAAGTTATGGTTAGATCTAAATGTCCCACAAAAGTTTCATGCATTCAGAGGTTTGGAAAGGTGATAGGGTGGTGGTGAGAGTATTATCATTGGTGGATTTCTCCATCGATGAGTGAACACAGATGTGCTTTTGTGAGTCACTGAGGTCTTGATCTGGAAGGATGGAAATAGTATTGTCCCCAAGACCTGTCTCACCCTTCTTGCTCTCCATAATGAAGTGAGCAGCATTCATCTACTATATATTTCCACCAGTCCCTGTCTTGTTTGGGAGCCAACCCATCATGGATTGAATTTTCTGAAACATGAGCCAAAATAAACCTCTTCCTTTACATTGCAGGTTTCAGGTGTTTTTGTTACAGTGACAGGAAAGTTGACTAATGCTGAAAATTGGTACTTGGGTGGGGCCATTGGTATGATTGGCTATACCAGACCATGTGTTTCAGGAAACGTTGGATATGTTCTAGGAGCCAAGATTGAGTCATTTTGGAGATGCCAGCTGGAGAAGCCTGTGATGCTGTATGGAGAGCTCAGTGGGCACTTCTGGTCAGAGTTCAGAAGACCCTCCTGTCAGATCCATTTATCCAGATGAAAATACTTTTATTATAACAGGGTCTCATTTCTTTTTCCCATCTTGAATGCTTAAAAAATCCAAGGTATTATTATGGATCAGAATTGCATTTACCCAGAAGAGGCTTCTATGAAGAGTTAATAAGTGAAGAATTAATGAAAAGAAAGAAATGAGACTCATCCTGCATTAACTCAGACAGGACTTGGAATAAATTGTTTTTTATCCTGTTCCACTTTATATCAGAGTTACGCATTCAGCCAGGTCGTTCTCTTTCTACTTATGTCAGCAAGCCATCTTAAAAATGAATCAATCTTAAGCTTCTTCTTAGAAAGGAACTTTATTAGATTTCAAAGGTTTAATTAAGTTAGCAGTTCTTATTTTTCTTGTGTGTGGGGGGGGTTGGTACTGGGGATCGAACTCTGGACCTTGTGCTTGTGAGACAGGCGGCAGAACCACTGAGCTAAATCCCCAGGCCATTTTTTTGTGTTTGTCATTAATCCTTACTCATCCTTTCTTAATGACTCATATGCTTAAAATTATTATGAAAGTGAAGGACTGTCATTTAGGAATTCACCATACAAGAGTATGAATTTCACCTCCACTCCTATTCCAGCCTCAGAGAGTTACCGCCAGCACTTTTATTTGTGTCCTTCTCGTCCAGCCTGGACCTCAGGGCATTTGCAGTGTTCATGCTGGAGAATGTTGTGGAGATTCAGGCCTCCATACATGAGGCCTTGGGAAGATGTTTGGATGATGCTGGCACCATACTCCTCAGTGGATAAGTTGGTTGGTGAGTTAATAGCAGAATGCACTTTTAGGAGGTGGGGCCTGATAGAAGTTGGGTCCGGGCATCTTTACCTGGAAGGTTGGTCATATTCTGGTCCACCACTCTTCTCTCATTGGGCTTCCTAGCTATGATGATGTTGGTCATATTACTCTGCCATGTCTTTCAGCCAGGCTGTTTCTTTCTTAGGATTAACCAGTCATGGACCAAATCTTTGGAAACATGGGACAAAATAAATTACTCTTGTTTCAAGTTGCAGGAGTTGAGAGTATATTGTCTCAGTGACAGGAAAGTTGACTAATGCTGGGAATTGGTACCGTGAGTGGGGCTTTTGGTGTGACTGATTATACCTGAACATGTGGTTCCTGAATCTATTGAACTAGTTTATGGCATAGCTTTGCATAGATTTAGCCATGCCAGCTAGAGGGGTTGTATAATACCGTATGCAGAGGTCGAAGGGCCCTTCTGGTCAGAGTTCAGAGGACCAGAATGCTAAAATTAAAGGCCAGGCTCATGAGGTTTCAGATAGGAATGAGGACTTTATTGGAAACTAGACTACATGCCATATGGGTTTCATTCTAGAACACAGTTTTTCTATATTTTGTTCATGTCCTAAAACTTTGTGTTGAACTTAAAAGTGGCAGACTAACTGATCTGGAGGAAGAAACTTCAAGGAATCCCAGTGTTCAAATGGTGGCATGGAATTTGTGGGCAATTTTCATCCAAATGTACAGTAAAAATCAGGAGAAAATAGAAGAAGTAATGATTTTAAAATTTGCATCTTTATTAGATAAGAAGTGCCTACAAAGT